CACATCGCAAGCAAACAGTTCTGTAACCTTCGTACTTGCTGGGGGTCTGTCTGTTTGCGTCCCAGTTGATGACAGATGTGCACAGTTTGAGTACTGGTATGCGCAAAGTTACTGGGGTAATATCGTTCATCAGCTAGCTGCAGTCGGAGTTGATGGGGTGATGTACTCTTCTGATCCTGATGGGACGTATCTCGCCCTGCTTTCTCAGTTGCAGCTTGTTGAGTTCGCTTTGCTGGAGGCTCACGGTTTGGAGGGCACTGGTACACTGATCAGGGCTTTCCTGGACGGCGTACTCGTCAAAACTCAGCTCTCAAGTCCCTCTGGATCATAAATGCAGCGAGCAAACATAGCTCGTGCTGCGAAAATAGGCTTGAAATTTTCACGACGCATTGCAACATCTCGGCGCTTTGTCAGGTCTCCATCCTTTGGGAATTTGAGAAAACTAACCCCAGGAGGATGATGTGATACTGGCACAATCAACAACACAACAATTTGGCATTGCAGCGGCTCAGGCGACTTGGCAAACTACTTTCTGAAGTGACTTTCGTCCTGAAGAAAGTGAGATTCAAAATCCAAGTATTTTCGCACCATGCCACAATGACGTCACACATACATTGGTATGGGGCGTGGCTAAAATTGAAATATCTCAAGAACGCTTTCTCGTAGAGACTTCGGACCAAGACCATTCGACTCAGCGCCCGAAACTCTACAGGCTATCAAATTTTCATTTTTTCGTGGAGTTCCCCTTTAAGTATACATGCACCTGCACAACATGTCATGTACATGGAATATGGTATACTGATATGCGTATGTTCCACACTGTTCTGTTGCCTACACTGTATATGCACAGGATGTCCTGGTGTACCTCATGGAGCATATGAAAGACATGCTTCATTTTGCAACTGCTGACAATCCAGTAGATTGGACCAGATCAGACCAAGAGGTAAGACAGCTATTACCCATACACATACACATACACATGCACAGTCACATACTTCTTTTAAGTACACATACATGTACATGTGCCAGTAGTTCTTCCAGTGGTCATGATGTGCAGTGAGGAATACTTTGCTACTCTCTATCCGGGTATGTAGCCACAGCTATACTCAAACTATAATAGATCCTTCCTTAGAAGATTCCAATGCCTCCACTTTCAGGGGCATACTTCTTCAGCCTTGACTATGTGACCAATCAAGTTGTCATACACTAAAGTTGTCATTCACGTTAATGCACTTTTTAATTAGGAAATTGCCCACGTTCAGGGTAGCTTTGTCCAGGTTCCCGGGTGCTACATACCAAGTCCCAGGGTCCTAGTGTGTCCAGTCCCTGTTGCCCTGGGTACCCAACCCCTGGGTTCTAGTGTGTCTAGTCCCTGGTGCCTAGGGTACCGACCCCTGGGTCCTAGTGTGTCCAGTCCCTGTTGCCCTGGGTACTCGAACCCTGGGTCCTGCAGGCCCGGCGGAAGCAATTGTTGATTGGTCCGGCCATGCCCACAGAGCCGGGCCCATCATACCCCATCCGGATGAAACTTGAATTGGAGAAGAAAATTGGGTACAAACGTCAGCCGGAATGCCTGGAACAGAACAGTAGTGGGATGGTGACCGTTGGAAGATACCCGTACGCAGAACTTGACATGGCAGAAGATAGAATAGTTTGCGTAGAATACATGGCGAAGAAAACATTAGGGTAGAATTTGACGCACCATGTGCACTAACACACAGGGTTTGATTAGTCAAACAAGCAGTGTGTTCCATAAAACTTAACACGGAGCTCTCAAGCGCGGCGATAAAATTTTCCAAATGCCTGACAAGAGCGCTTCACCACTGTCTTTTTCCCAAATTCCCACCGAGGAAACACGAAGGAAGTGGTTGGGTGGAATGGCACTTCTGGCACAGATACTTCGCTGGAAGAAGCCATAGCTGCTAAGCATGCACTGCGGCTAAGCTGACCAAACAGCGAGACAAATTTGAAAAACTACTCCGTTCAGTAAAAGAATCTGAAGCACTCGACGAAAAACCCTCAAGTATTTTTACAATGTAGAATCCATCATGGCACGTGCCTTCAGGTCGCGCGACTCGCACCACAGGCCCACAGGCCACAGCTAGGCCACAGCTAACCCTCAAAAGGCTCAAGCGCGCACGCGTGCACGGCAAGATCAGAGCGAGATCGCAAGTACGCATACATGTACAATCGATGATCACAACATGACGTTACTGCGTCCTAAAAAAATCGTCGGTGGCCGAAAAGTTGGTCCGGCCATGGCCGGACCGGCCGGTGCGGTTCCGCCGGCCCTGCCCTGGTGTGTCCAGTCCCTGGTGCTCTGGGTCCGACCCTGGGTCCTACAGTCCGTTTCAAAAAGATTTGCAATCCTGGCGATCGCCCGCGGAGTTTGGTGTCTTACCGTATGAGCACTCGATCACTGCCTGGAAAAACTCACTGTGAACTCGAAGAAATATTCCGCGCGAAAGCAGGAAAAATGACTACTCACTAGCACTCACGTTGATACAGTCTTGTACGTCTGGTTTACAACAAACGAGTTCTTCCTCGTATCGATAATGGAGTCAGAGAGGACATGTCGAAACGAAAGTGTTGTAAATGTTGACGAGCGGCATGGGTCCCAATTCGTTTTGTGACCAAAATAGTTTCTTTGAGCTGCGATGCAATTTACTCACCGCGTGACGAAAACGACATCGACACGGACTCATTCCCAAGGCCATGACTTGACAAAGCTATCCGTGTGACTTCGACGACATTTTGAGAGAACCAGACGCTTGTGGACGCTGATAGAAGACGGCATTGACTGCTAAAATTCAAATAAATTGGCGATCTTGAAATACTAAAATAAATCTCAAAAAGCTACAGCGCGATGACTTCCATATTCACGCACACCATTGCAGTGTTGTGGGTGTGTTCACATGGCGTGAGCCAGTCAAGTGTCAGTCAGTTCGGCAGGAAGCGCGACCTCCAACAACAAGTCGTTTGGTGCAGCCATCTTCTGTGTCTTGTACCAGCTTGATCACCAAAACAATGAAAAAAAAGTTTAACATACGTGTACTTTCCATTGGCATCAGTATTCCGCGTAAGATTTTCGTCGCCTGTGTGGTGTGTTTCTCCACCAATGAGTGCGTCCTATGATTATTTATCGCTGTTCTCACACTTTACCATTTTAGCAGCTTGATATATGTGGAAAGCGCGCACTTGCGCCATTTCTGGTGTATAAGAATGATCATTCCTCCATTATCATCATTATCATCCTCTACTGATGAGCTCCGACAGGGAGCGAAACAGCTGTCTAGAGGCGTGGAGCAATATCATCTCTCAACGGAAGTGTCCTTGCTGGTGTCTGTATGGTTCGGCTGAAGAGCGCGTGGATGTGATGAGTTGGGAATGCAATGAATTGACTTGAGGATAGGTTGGGGTTTGAACTCACAACTTCATGGTCAGCAGACAGCATTCATAACCACAAGGCCAAAAAGGAAAGGATAAATCGTGGGTTTTGATGATACTGGCTTCCTGGGCAAATTGTAAACCATGGGAAAAGGCCGGAAACCTGGCCAAAATTCTAACTCCTTAACGGTTGGTCCAATTGTTCCGAAACCTTCACAGAACAGTTTGCCGTGTCCTAACAAGCCATTCTATGTACTTTGTTGTCCAAATTTCCATTATCTTCATACTTTTTAAGACCCAAACCTGATTGTAAATCTTTTTGAAACAGACTATAGTGTATCCAGTCCCTGTTGCCCTGGGTCCTAGTGTGTCTGGCCCCTGGTGCCTAGGGTACCGACCCCTGGGTCCTAGTGTGTCCAGTCCCTGTTACCCTGGGTACTCGAATCCTGGGTCCTAGTGTGTCCAGTAGCTGGTGCCCTGGGTCCGACCCCAGGGTCCTAGTGTGTCTGGCCCCTGGTGCCCAGGGTACCCGACCCCTGGGTCCTAGTGTGTCCAGTCCCTGTTGCCCTGGGTACCCGACCCCTGGGTTCTAGTGTGTCCAGTCCCTCTTCTCCGACCTACCCGGTTCCTGGGTCCCAACGTATCCGATTCCTGGGTGCCCAGTGTCCCTGGGTCCTGGGTTTCCAGTCCCTGGTACTAACTATTCTGGGCCATACTGGACGAGCTAGTTCATTTGTTCCTTAGGCGATGCTTTATGTCAGAGCACTTTTAATATGCCCCGAATGTCTGATTAGAGTATGGGAGTGTTTCTTCAGAGTTCAAAAGTTCACTTATTGAAACCATGGATACCGGTATGCGACCATGGACACCAGCAGCACAGTCTATTTTGCATGCACAGGTTGAATTCTTGCAATTCAAGCAACCAGGTCAAGTAATATTTTGTCGTGTGTATGGTTTTTTTTGGCTCTTTGCAACACAGCTTGTTCTTAGCGATATTGCTGACTTTCATGCAATGCATTACGGTAAAGAAGAGGAGCTACTGAGCAAGAAGTGGATTGATGCTCACTACCCGGACGACATGGTGGAGAAGTATGATCTATGGAGTGCATTGTTGAGGCACAACCAGCGTGAACATCCACACATCTGGAATCATGATGTGTAAGTCACTATGGAATTTAGGGAAGTTAAAAGTTACTGATTATGGCAGTCTCTATGGTGAACACTATTGTTATGTTCGGAGTACTCTGCTCTCAAACTGAATAGCTTCACTGCTCGCTGCACTGCATTAACTGTGACAGCACTAATAGCTAATATGATCATTCATAGGTACTGGGCTGTGATGCACAGTACAATGTAGTGAGTGAACATTGGCACGTCTCTATTCCAGACTGCCCGGGCACCTCACGGACTGAACACAGTTATCCTCTGTATGATGTGTGATCTTGGAATGTTGCCATGACAACATGACATGGTCTCAGCGGCAGCACACTCTGGGGAATATGTGTTCTTGGTAGTATAGTCACACTCACCGAGTAGCCACGGGCATCACAATCCTAAGAACAATTGTGACTAATAAACTGGGGCTAGGGCTAGCTGGGGCTGGACAGAGAAAGAAATTGTGGATATTAGTGAGGTTTTACATTCCGAATTTCGGCAAAAAGATTCGGCACGCGGGAGCGAGGTCGAAAATGCACACGAAGATTCGGCGTGTTTGCTCGGAAAAAGCTCACTTTGCCGAAAATATTTTTCGGATGCATTTTCTTGTAGAAGAGCGCTAGCGCGTGATTTATTCAAAGAGGTTTCTTATCTCGGCATCGCTTGGCAGGCGTCTTTGGCGACATAGCATCGTCAGCTAGCTACCTCTGATTGCTCCTCTCCACTGCCTGTCTACTCTCTTTCGCCTGGAGTGTCCTCACCGTGATCTGTGTGGCTGAAAAGACTATGGCGACACGCATACAATTTGACTTGGCCATGGAGTTGGTTTTTCTGAGGCGACTGAGGAGGCAGGTTTGGCCCTCGACTCTTTAGGTGATCAAAGTTCGTTGGAATCAGCAAGAAAAGGAGCACGGGACAGGACGTTGCTGATGCTGGGGCTCACGAAATGAAAACACATAATTTTCGACTTGCAAAACAAACGTTGGTGCGAAAATTCGACATTTTGATGTTCGACAAATGACCGAAGAACGCTGTACCGAAATTCGGAATGCAAAACCTCACTAATGTCTATGATTTGATTGCTCTGCAGCAACTACAGTATTAGTGTAAAGTTATTTTAAAACTGTAAATTGTAAAGTCTGTTACCATGGTTACTGTCAGGCTGTGCCCCATTGAAAAATCTCCCGTTGTGAGGGTCTATCCGGCATTATCGATAATTTTCACGAAACGAAAAAGTTTAGTTAGGACACTCCCCCACCTACCCCCCCCCCCCCCCCTGAACAAAAATAGATTGACTTGACAGCAAGAATGCCTTGATGTCTCACATATCAATATTTTTCAAAACGAAACTCCCCTTGACCCACCCACCCATATACGGAACTTTTTCTCTTCGTGTAAAAGATCGATAATTATGGACGGCCCCTCCAGTGTTTTATTGTTGGTTGCTTGCTGCCCAGTCTACCAGTGCTAGCATTTCTCACTACATGTCGATTGTGCGATGATGGTGTAACGACTGTCACCAACTTGGGGAAATCATCTCATCTTATGCATGATGCGGGGTGCTAGTTATAAGTAATGCATGCTGGCCAGTGAGTGAGCTAACGTGTTAGTGTTTGGTGTCATTGCGTTCCTGCTGCAGTTGTACACTGGCACAGGATATCATTGACCACATTGGACCAATCTGGCAAGCGTTTGAGGCTTCCACACGTACATTGGTCCACAATGATTTCAACACACGTAACCTCTGTATACGCCCTGCATCACAAAGTGTGGATGGAAAACGTCATCTCTGCTGCTACGACTGGGAGTTGGCAACACTCCATGTACCACAACGTGACGTTGCTGAGTTCTTGGCATTCGTACTAAACCCTGATGCTCCTCTCAGTGAGTGGAAGAGTCTTCTAGAGCATCATAGGCTGGCACTGGAAACAGCTACTGGATGTGATATTTCACAACAGCAGTAAGTTCACATGTATCCATCCACACACTTGCACATGTACATTTTACTTGTACTTGCTCACTGCAATATAGGGGTGAAACGATTACACTTTTTTACTACCGAATAACCGAAACCTATATTTTTCGATTATTTCGTCCACAGATCAAATCAGCTGAAAAATGTGAAAATTTAGAATTTTATAATTTGTCCTCTGGAGAAGAGAATTTTTTCTCGCACATCGGTCGATCTACATTGACTACAATCATACAAGTACGTGTATGTATGATCTTGCATACTGTATGCATAATCGAGTAATCGAAACTTTTCGAATAGTGTATTCGTTAGCTTGTAACGATTTCTATTTCGAGTATTCGGTAGAATCGTTTCACCCCTACTGCAATACACTGGTCATGTGGAGCCAATAAATTCGAGATGAGGGTGTTAAACGGGGGAAACCTGGAGAAAAGGTTGACTGTCACTAGCAGGACTCTATCCAGGGACTTTCCCTATAGGCCAGCGATGCTCTAACCACCGAGGTATGGTGTAGTCATCATCCCAACAGAGACCGCTGTAGTGTCATGCTTGCTGTGACAATACACAGGCTGGTGGTATGCAGCCCTCGCTGTACCCACACTCCCCATACTCTTCATGCACACGCTGGTACGCTAGAAAAAGTATTTTGTACGTACTACAATGCTGGCAACTGAAATCCTACCCCCTCAGCGGTGCGCTCACATCGCAAAGAATGTGAACTCAACGCTCAGGCCAGGGGGTCGGATTTCAGTTGCCGGCACTGTAGTACAACTAGTACATGAGTTGTATTCTAATACGTCAATTTACGGTGGACCTGCAACTGGTCTGAGAGACGGTAGGTATGAGATAATTTCTCACTGATCTCAACTGGTCTGAGAGACGGTAGATATGAGATAATTTCTCACTGATCTCAACTGGTCTGAGAGACGGTAGGTATGAGATAATTTCTCACTGATCTCGCATACAACAGTGCTGGCTAGAGAAATCCAACCTCATGAATAAAGTAGCGTCGCGTTCGAGTGCACAGGCCAGTACGTGTAGTTCTAGGGCTGCATAGCGCTCGGCAACGCTATTTTATTCATGAGGTTGGATTTTTTTGACCAGTACTCTAGTTATGCAATCTGTTTGTAAACTATTGGATTGTTTCTGTATGTTTGTTTTGTGTGCATGTTCTTATCCGTTTACAGATATCAAGATGTATTTGACCTAGTCATGTGTGACCTGCTAGTCAACCGCATAGCACTGTACGGCATGGCGCATACATTCAAGGACTACGTCTTCTACGGCCGACTAGTAGCCGCAACGAGTGGCTACATCCGTCAGCGTATGCAGGAAAGTGACACGTTGGTACAATTCTTCCGCTCCTGAATATGTACCATCGGGTACAAACACCCGCACATGTCCCTATCAACTTAATCAAGTATAGCTTGGTAGTGTCTGTGTCCGACGGCTGTTCTAGCAGCCACCAGTCAAGTGTCACAGTGGTCTATAGCACCATGCAGCAATGCCGTAGCACCACGTACACTTAACTGCTCATGGTAGCTGTGTACATACTGTGGACGTACTGTGTAGGTTTCTGGTGGAATCATCCTGGTTCACTATGATATGCATTACGAGTTAAAAATCATGCGGGTATGGCATTGTGCTGTGCAGCTAGCCGTATACCATAGTAGCACTGTAGCCGGCACATAGTGCATATGTGGCATGTACAATCATGTATATGGATGGTTAGTGGTACTATTCATACTTGTAGTCGTAACACTCTGCAAATAGCTGAGGCATATCCGCTCAACGGCTAACTTACCTGCTAGTGTAATACATCTGATGATAAACAATCCCTTTTTTATTTGGCCTCATGCAGTATGGCTTTATGGTCTTCTACATACCAAGTAATAATAATATAGGACATAGCTAACTATAAACCTGAATAGCAATACTGCATGTCAAAGTATACGGCAGTCACTACTCTAGTGACTCACCAGATATACTCCCCACTAAACTTGAACTTGAACTGCACGGATGATAACTTCGGGCCCTTCTCAGCAGTAACTAGTAATCTCAACATCGCCTAATAGTGTACATTATCAAATACCTAGCATCACCTATTCCCTCAGCTAATAGAATAATATCATTTTCCTGATCAGTCTTATCCACCAATGTGGACAACCGCATTGAACTGGCATATTACTGTCACTCGGCATAACGTTAGTAACTGAATACAGTTGAACATCCGATTACGGTGTATTTCAAACAGCACGGCATCGGATCAATCCTGTAGGTGTGAGCGGCCCGGCCGGGACTGTTTGAAGAGAAGACGAGAATTTGATTTGGAGGCTGGAGCCGCTGTGTGACCCAGACTGTTGTTTGTTTTTGCGGACACCGACACTGTCACGGTCGGTTCAGTGTGAGGAGACCGAGGCTGTGTTTGTTCAATTTCAAAGGCTGCGGAGACTAAGGCTGAGCCAGGCTGTCACTGTGTTTGTGCGTTGGCCGTCAGGTTGTGGCATCATCAGCCTCGGGCCAGGTCGTTGACCCACGGTTATCCACCGTTAACTCCATAGAGGCACTGGAGCGCCGAGGTATGAAAATTCAAGTCACTTGTTGAATGCAATGCATGAAGTTTACTGCGGCATGGCGATTTTGCCCTACGGTCACGGCAGATAGAGTCTTGACTTCCAGCCATCGTCCATCCACACTGATCGGGCCAACGGTTTCTGATCATACAATGTCAAGGGTCGATGTTTGTCGTATAGTGGTCTCTTTCCCGGTTGCCGGCTCGAACTGCACTGTTCTGTGCCAGTGCATGTATACCAACATCATTGTGTGGCCGAGCAGGGGTTAGGTGTCGTGGGACAGTGGGGTGTGGTACGATCGACCAGGCGAGCAGCCCCCCCCCCCCCCCATGGGGAGCCTTGAATTAATCGAATTTTTCGGCCAACACCATTCTACCGTGAGGCGCTGTGGCGGATCATTCTGGACAAACAAGTGGTCGTACTGGTCGTACCGTGCGCCCCTGCCGAGTATTTGTGTTTCATGATGTTCTATTTGCTACTCACTCACTTATAGTCTGTTTCAAAAAGATTAGCAATCAGGTTTTGGTCTTAAAAAGTATGAAGGTAAGGGAAAATTGGACAACGAAGTACATAAAAGGGCTGGTTAGGGCACGGCAAATTGTTCTGTGAAGGTTTCGGAACAATTGGACCAGCCGTTAAGGAGTTAGAATTTCGGCCAGGTTTCCGGCCTTTTCCCATGGTTTGCAATTTGCCCTGGAAGCCAGTATCGATTTTTCTATCAAAACCCACGATTTATCTTTTCCTTTCTGGCCTTGTGGTTATGGATGCTGTCTGCTGACCATGAAGTTGTGAGTTCAAATCCCAACCTATCTTCAACTCACACTTTTTTTCATTGTTTTTTGGTGATCAAGCAGACTTGTCATGTGTGTACGGTTCACGATTGTTGTTGTTGGAGCTCCCGCTTCCTCCCGAATTGACTGACACTTGACTGGCTCACGCCATGTGAACACACCCACAACACTGAAACGGTGTGAGTGAATACGGAAGTCATTGCGCTGTAGCTACAAAAAATTGACTTCTAAATTCAAATAAATTGGCGATCTTGAAATACTAAAATAATTCTCAAAAAGAAATCGATCGATCGATGTGCCGGTGTATTCAACACGTACAGCGCACTGTACGTGTTGAATACGCTTGTGGCTCAATGTAGCTGAACCATCGGACCTTATTTGTCAGCTTGGATCACGTGATCCATCCAGCTGCCGCGTGCGGCAAACAGCCCAAATAGCGCTAACTCTGGCCTGCGAGCGTTTGCTGCGACTACCGCGCTAGCGCTCGTGACATACACAAACGCGCTAGCCAGAATGCTTTGACTTTGATGGCTTTCAGCTTCTATTTTTTGAAAAGTAGCGCGCTCAGACCAGCTCGCTCACTCTTTTCCTCTTCCACTTTTTAGGGCAATTGTTTTGTTTGATAGACGAAGCTTAGGGTCTCTTTGGGTTTGCAACCCTTACCCTCCTGGAAAAAATCATAGTTGCTAGACTGCGACACTTCAGACCAGGTACTATTAGAGCCGCTAATGGACGACGAGCTATTTTCCGCTATCCGGAGCTCAAGCATTTGAGCCGCTAAATGGACGAGACTCCTGGGGTAAAGGATGCAGGGAGTAGGTATTGTACTACTTCCTGGTATGGAGCACTGAGAAGCGGTAAGTCCTAGGGCAATTCTTAGCCAGTAGTTACTTTCTCGCCATAATTATGTTCTCAATTTTCGTGTCTTCTGTAATGCCAGTACACTAGCAGTACGACTACACTGTTATGTAGGCGAGAGTCCATAAGCCAGAGTGTGCAGCTCTCCATCTATGCAGCATAAACAAATTAATGACAAATTTCCTTTGCCTAAGGGCTGGGTTCCACTGCCGCTCCGCCGCACATCATCCACTGCATGAAACGTCATCATTACGAGCTGGTCCAGCGAGGCCGCGGCTCATCACCAGCTTTCGCTTCGCTGCTTGATACAAAAGAATGCAAGCCGCGGTCACGGCTTGCATTGTTTCCCGCGCTTAATTGTTTTATACGGGGGAATTTTAATTCGTTGCACAGGCCAGAACACGAGGATTATTTTGGATTTCACGCGCGTGCAGGCAGGCTAAATGTCATCAAAAAACGTCGAGCACGATCGCGGTACCGTGAATGGCGAGTGTCACTGGAACTGCGCCGCTCTGCTGCATGCAGCCAAGTACCGTGGAGCAGCGGAGCTGCGGAGCCGCAGTGGAACCCGGCCCTAACCAAACTTATAGCAATTTGAAAATGTTTGACAATTTTTCATAAAAAACTTGACAACATTGTTCTTCTGTAGAGTGCCGCTGGCAACTCCATCGATGAACTCCATCAATGAGCGCAGGGATAAAGTTTGGAAACCCTTCGAACGAGAACGTGTTTTCAAAAAGGAAGCACAAATAAGCCGCGTAACTTCCCCTCTAGTATGGCCCCATCAAAGCCACTCGCTGACTACTTACCAGTAAAATGGGGTTGGACGGTTGTCAGATTAGCTGACATGTTTTCTGCCAACACAACCATAAGCAGTTGTCAACTCTCAAGACTAAAAGAGCTTGCGAAGAAAGTGAGAAACCTTGGCTATGAAAGCACATGAAGCGTCAGAACATAATCGAGCAAACTTGGACCTAGATTACCAGTGTCTGCTCCAGAGCGAGGTCAGTGGCCCTGTTTGTGAGTACTTGGACCTTTTGGAAAAAGAACACTGGGTTACCTGCGACCCGGTCGGAAGTCCTGTCGAGTACTATACTTTTTTATACTTCGAGGGTATACCGCCACTGACAGGCTGCATACGCGTGCAGATGCGTGCGGCCAGAGTGCCCAGTGCGAGTACGTTCATACATGTACATGTACAATCATGTACATCAGGAAGTCGAAAGTAAGTTTACGACTCCCTGACACACAGTAGCCACACTTGAACGCATCTGGCCCTGGCCCAGTGTTGCAGGAGTTGTGCCAGGTAGACGTGTACCCGGTTTGTGTTAAATCTTAGAGCAGGTACTGCATACCCTATCATATCTGTGTACATGGGTATACAGAGTCAGTGTTGTTGCGTCCCACTCAGCACCCTTCTGGTTCATTTCGGCACCAGCACTCTTTGCGTATGCAGAGCTGAGTAGAGTGCAAGTTCGGACCACAAATACACTGTAGCAGCCAGTTGCGAACCTAACCTGTGCCGTGATGCACGGCACTTGTGTGCATCTCCTTTATCCCTGAGTAACCCACCAGGTATATGGTGCACAATAGGGCACAGTAAATAATCAGCATGCATCGCAGTTTTCTGCAACATACATGTATTCCTGAAGTCACTTTACACCTCAGAAGAATTGCGTCGCTGACAGGAATTCGATACCGGTTTAGTTTCTCTCTGGGTCATTATGAATCATAGAAAACCCATCATACAATAGGTTCAAGCTAAAGTACCGTATCACCATGGTAATTCCTGGAAATTCGGTGTGTTTTCTGCCTTTTGTTAAACAAGCAGCAATGTGCAACAGAAATTACCATGGTGATACAGTAGATTACCGTGTGAAGCGGTGTGAGATGCAGCAAAGGTGAGCCTGTTACTGTGAGTCTATGCCCTAAACAATAAACTTTGCAGTGGGATGATTATCCTTGGGCTGCACACTCTGCACACTTATTGCTAGGTATATCATTGGTCTTGTTCGGATCGTCCATTACGTTTGCAGCTGTTCAAACTTGTTTTGTTGTTTATTATTTTATTGATTTATTTATTCTACTTGCCTTTCCTATCTTCTTGTGTTTTAGCATTAGGCGATTTGATCGCAGGACAAGAGAGGAGCTGATGGACGATCTCTCCAGTGTCCCTCTTGGTTCGGAGCAGCGCCGAGTGCTGACGTTGGGACTTGGGTAAGGATGAGTGTTCCCTCATGTTTACAAGTTATCCGTTTTGTCCAACACTAACGGTTATATGCAGAATATTGCTGAGTCAAAAATGTGCAACAATCAGCACAAAAACTGACTGATGAGATCATGACATTCAACGACCTGATGCTTAGCTGCATCACGTTTATATCCGTAAGTGTTGGACAAAACGGATAACTCGTAAACTGATGGTCCTCTTTTTCAATTTTAATCCTTGGCTCTCCATCCGAGTTCCCTCGTGTGTGTAGCTATTATTATTTTTTTTGGTGACAGTCAATTTTTTCTTCAGACTTTTCCCGTTTGTGTCTTTCCCTCAAACTAGTCAATATTTATATTTACTTATTTTTTTGCCCATTCTACCTTTATTTTACTTAGACAAGGGTTAGCTGTCCGTTTACCAGTACTCATCCACACATATGTGCACATAGGGTCTGCACAGAACTCTATCAGTAGATATTTTGTGTATGGGGGGTTGTCTATCCACCGAGATAGCACTATATATTCCCATTCTGTGAGTTCTCTGGTAGCTATGTCCCTTTGAGACTATACGGTGCCAGTGTGGTGACCGAGGTCAGGCCGTGTCTGCACTGGCATCGTCAACTTTGCCTACTGCTACGTGCTCCCCAGTGCTCCATCTGTGTCCTGTAATTTGTTTGGGGAGGGGGGGGGGGGGCAATACCGGTACTTCAGGTGCAGGGGGAATGGGGTGGGGGGACATCATGCCCCCAATGAACCTCTCCAGGCGTTGTTCTGGAGTAGACTAACCATAGGCGGAGTGTACACATGCAGCACATAGTTTGGGAGCTAGAACGCGATCGGACTCAGGCATATTCAAAGGCAGTCTATTGTGATAGTAGTCCTGGACGGATCTCACTATGATGATATAGGTCGTGCCCAGCATCACAATGCCAACATTATAAATCACTGTTTTTTTGTCTGAGGGGCTAGATGAGCATGCGGCTAGACTGCCGATGGCAACCAACAGGCTCAAGGCTGTGTTGAGACTTCGTGTGAGTGACCCGAGTCAATTGTTTACTCGCCATGACTAGGCATCGCATTGAGCATCGTAAGCCCACTAATATATGTCACTGTTCTTAGTCGCACCGGGGGCGCATGCCCGTTTTCAGGAGACTTCTCAAAACACCTAAGCCCTGGGTCCTGAAGGTTAGGCCTATTGTTAATCTAAATAGTCCTGGCTACTATCCCGCTGAGTTCACTGACTTTCTACTGAACCCGTATGTATGTGAGGAAAGTACTGTTCTGACCTCAACTGCGGATTTCATCAACTTGGTAGAAGGTTTGCCTGTGCGGGACGATCATTTATAATTGAGTATAGATGTGACCAGCCTTTACTACACCAACATCCCCAACGAGCTCGGTTGTCGTGGTATATCACACACAGGTATACAAGGTGGATGCCCCTCGCCCTTCGTACATGGTTATTAACAGCAGTGACTTCCTTGATGTCAGTCATTCGGAAGAAAAATGAGTTCGTGTATGGTAACGATGTGTTTCGGCAGATCCAAGGGACTGCCATGGGTTCGCCTGCAGCAGTGGTCTATGCCGACATTGTTATGCCGTATTTGGAGAAGCGGTACGTTTTGCCGATCTTAGAGGGGGAGGGTTTAGAGGTTCAGGTTTATAGACGCTTTATCATTGCATGGTTGCGAAGGTCAAGTTCAGCGCACTTTAGATAGGAATAATAAGTGTTCGGCCCTCAAGTTTTCTCATGAACTGGCACATGATGGCATTGATTTCCTGGACACCACAGTTTTCCGTAGTAAGGGATACATGGCGGTGAAGCCTCATTTCAAGGTCACCAATCGTTTCCTGTATCTGCTTGTCGGTAGTAACCACCCCTGTAGTATGGACAAAGGTGTGTTCACTGGGGAGTTGATCCGTATCCGTCGGTCTTCGACCCTTGACCACCACTACGAAGCTGCTGCCGGGCGGCCGAAGCAGGCTTTCCGGGCCCGTGTATACAAGCGCTCCATCTTTCATCTTTCAGACCCGTACACTAGGAATGGATGCGCAGGGAAGGTATGTTGGTCAAATTGGCATGGGTTAGGGTTATTTCTGTAGTTGTATACAGTGCTCCTCATTGTATTTACCTGGGCCCGGCCTGCTGTCCTTCGCCCGTTGGCCTTGAGGTCCAGGTGTAATACCCCTACCATACAGTCCGGTGGCCAGCGCGGTTGTTGTTACACGGTGGAACATCGGCAAGAGGTTGCTTGCTCGTTTGCCTCATGCTCAGTGTCCTCAGGGAGTTAGTATTTTCCTCCTGTTTGGATTTTGCAGTGTCTATGGTGTCGGTAATTGAGTTTTTGTTCTGTATGCTTTTCTGTGGTGTGTGGCTGTTCAGTGTTGTTCACACATCTTTATTTGACTTGCTTCCTGGTGTGGTGTACCTTTTTGTTTTATATTGGTGTTGGTCTCACTCCGACTCACTCTGGCTGTAGAGTTCTAGCATCCGTAGCTGCCTCAGGGGGTGCCACTGCTCCCATCAGCGTCGACTAGTCCGCCGGTACGTGGTGCTATATTACGTTTAGTTGTCTGTTCCATCCTGTACGGGCTGTGTCCTGCTGACCACACAGTCTGGGTCTCCATACTTTGCATGTTATCATCGTGTGTAGTGTTCACACGTACATATATGGACTGTCACACCCATATGTTGTACATGTGGCTGCACGTGTTATCTCTTTGTCGTACCTGCTGCTGTATTTGTGTCTCTGTGCTGCTGACCCGTACATGCTGCTGCGCTGCTTTGTTGTATTGCTGACACGTGCACCTTTTTGTGCTGATATGATATCGAGTACGCCACTTTTTGTGCTGATGAGGGCACCACTTTCCGATATCATGTTTCCTTTCGCCATGTCAGTTGTCAGTTCTCCCGTCGTCTCCTGAAGTGTAGTAATGAATAGCTCTCTCTCTAGGTCTAGAGAAAAACCACTTGACTAGTCCGTTTGATGTGTGGCGTGGCGAGGGTATAGTAGAGGCAGCTCGTTCTCCAACCGAGACGACATTTGGCGCCCAACATGGGGCTCAAACCCACGACCCTGAGATTAAGAGTCTCATGCTCTACCGACACATATATGCACGGGGCACCGTTTGTGCTCCTATCCATTTACATATGCTGCTTTCCACACCTGTGCTGACAGTCGGTACGCACCGACTCTGTACGCATGCACGCACACCATTGAGGTTTTGCATTCCGAAATTCGGCAAAAGATTCGGCACGCGGGAGCGAGGTCGAAAATGCACACGAAGATGCGGCATGTTTGTTCGGAAAAAGCTCACTTTGCCGAACATATTTTTCGGATGAATTTTCTTGTGGAAGAGCGCTAGCGCGTGATTTATTCAAAGAGGTTTCTTATCTTGGCATGCCTTCGCAGGCGTCTTTGACGACATCAGCATCGTCAGCTACCTCTGATTGCGCCTCTTCACTGCCTGTCTACTCTCTTTCGCCTGGAGTGTCCTCACCGTCATCTGTGTGGCTGAAAAGACTATGGCGATACCCATAAAATTTGACTTGGCCATGGAGTTGGTTTTTCTGAGGCGACTGAGGAGGCAGGTTTGGCCCTCGACTCTTTGGGCGCGATCAAAGTTTGTCGGAATCAGCAAGAAAAGGAGCACGGGACAGGACATTGCTGATGCTGGGGCTCACGAAATCAAAACACATCATTTTCGACTTGCAAAACAAACGTCGGTGCGAAAATTCGACATTTTGATGTTCGACAAATGACCAAAGAACGCCGAGCCGAAATTCGGAATGCAAAACCTCACTATTGCGGAGCTTTCCGGAGCTCCGAGCTAGTTGTTGTTTGGAATACAGCAAGAGAACAACATTACATTGGCGCTGCGAGCAAACGCCTGATCCTCGCCATGTCCCTACTGTCACTACCGCCTCCGGAGCCATTCCCGATCTACAGCAGTCTCTACGACGCTGCTGCCCATTTTCTTGCCTGGGAACGGTGTTTCCAACTCTATGTCGCAGCAGCCGGCATCTCGGATGACTCTCGCCAGAGAGACACTTTCCAGTATGTGGCCGGCAAGGACATCCAGCAGCTCGTCCCTACGTTAGCCAACACTGGCAACGATCTCGACGGCCTCATAACCACCGCCGCCGACTACTTTCAGTCGAAGCAGAGCCCCAGCATGGCCCGCTTCCACTTCCGGCAGGTCACCCAGCAGCCTGGCGAAACGTTAGACACGTTTTATACTCGTTTGCTGGCATCGGCAACGACCTGCAGCTTCGCCGACGATGCCCAGAAGAACGTGGCTCTCTGTGATCAAATTGTGGCAGGATGCACGTCCGATCCACTACGCAGAAAACTGCTGGAGACTGCGTCCCTTGATCTCGCCAAGGCGCTCAAGGCCGCCAGAGCATTTGAAGGGTCAGTGGAACAGACGACGGCGTTCCGGCGCACACAAGACTCGATCAATGCCCTCCGTCATCAGCCACCGTTCTACAAACTAACGCCCGCCTCCTGCTACTGTTTCAACTCCGTCGCGTCGACCGATGCAGTCTTCGCCACATCCAGCTGCAAACTCATACCACCAGCCACCTGCCCCAGTCGCCACTCGCGCTCCAGGCCAGCAGGAATCCAGCACATCGCTCTGCTACCGCTGTGGAGAGCCAGGCCACCCTAAATCACATCGCTACGCAGTTTTGCACTGTAAACGTCTGCCCATGGGCGTATCGTCCGCATCCGAGATCCTACAGCGCACACTGGACGCCATGGCTCGCTGGCCTCGACGGTGTGAAGAACGTCCACGACAACATCTTCAACTTTGGTAAGAGCGTCGAAGAGCACAACCGACGACTCGCCGCCTGCCTCCAGCGGCTCCAAGATCACAACGTTACACTCAACGTAGCCAAATGTCACAAATGTCACATCCTCAAGCCTCGGCTCAAGTTCATGGCTAGCGTCTACTCCGACAAGGGCATCCGCGCCTCTCCCAGCCACCAGCAGTCTGTGGCTACATTCTCTACGCCATCTTGCGTCAGCGACATACAGAGTTTCCTGGGTCTCACCAACTTCCTCCGCCGTTACATTCGTAACATGGCCGATCTCACCACGCCACTCCCTGCTCTCACTAAGAAAGGTACTGTTTGGCGTTGAACTGATGTTGAGCAGCAATCATTTGATGCACTGAAGAAGGCCATCGCCGAAGACTGCATGCTGCAATACTTTGACCGCAAGCGATTCACATCACTGTATGTCGACGCATCGCCCACCGGCCTCGGCACAATCCTGTGTCAACGCCAAGACAACGGCCACGATGCACCTGTAGCATTCGCCAGCCGTGCACTCTCCGGCGTCGAGCAGCAATATTATCAAACTGAACGGGAAACATTGGGTGTCAAGTTTGGCTGCCTTCGCTTTCACCACTGCTTGACAAGGTGATCCACAGTTCACCGTTGTCACCGACCACAAGCCGCTCCTGCAACTCATGGCCGTCGGATCGAGACCTCCGCCGCGAATTGAGCGCATGGTCCTCCGCCTGCAGGATCTCAGCTTCCAGCTCCAGTACAAGCCTGGCCCAGAAAACCCGGCCGACGTCGTCAGTCGCAATCCGCAGCCTCATCCCGACTTGCCAAACATCGGCGCACAGGAAGACACTGCGTACATACATGCCCTAGCTACAGCAGCTAAGCCGAATGCGTTGGCTCTGAAGGAGATTGCGGACGCCACCACCGCAGACACCACACTGCAAGCCATCCTTTCCTCTCTGCAATCTGGCCGCTGGGATTCCAACCACACCACGGTCCGCCCGTACTTTGCCCTCCGCCATGAACTGTCTGAGAGTGACGGTCTATTACTCCGCAACGACCGTCTCGTCATTCCAACGGCTTACCCTGCAGCTTACACATGCGGGCCACCAAGATATTGTCCGCACCAAGCAACGGCTCAACAGCAAGGTTTGGTGGCCCAACATGGCTACTGAAGCCGAAGCACTCTGCCGGCAATGTATTCCGTGCCAAGCAACTCTCTCAACGACACCGCTACGTCCGGGAGTCCGTGCCCACACCACCGTCCACCAAGCCGTGGCAACGAGTCTTCGTCGATTTGTTTGGACCCATGCCAAACGGTCAGCACCTGCTTGCCCCTATCGACCAGTTGACTCGCTACCCGGTCATCAACGTGTTCAGCACGACACCCACTACGGCCGGTGTTGTTAAAGCTCTGCGCTCTACATTATCCATGTTCGGCTTGCCCGAAGAGCTAGTCTCGGACAACAGTCCTCAGTTCCGTTCTTCGGCTTTTGCTGATTTCCTCGCGCAACACGCTATCCAGCACCGCCACACCCCTCCTTTGTGGCCACAAGCAAACGGAGTGCCTCAACCGTACCATTGGCAAAGTTCTGCGAACTGCCAAACTAGCTGGCGAAGACATCAATGTTGCATTAGACCAATGGCTCCTAGCGTACCGCACCACGCCACACCCTGCCACTCACGAGGCACCGGCAACACTCATGTTTGGTCGCCCCATCTGCGACAGCATACCCTGCATTACGGCAGCCGCACCAGACTTGCCTTCAGCTGCCCACCGTGACCAGCAATTCCGCCAATCCCAGTGCGACGCTACCAATGCCACCCGCCGGTCAAACGCCCCCATCCTCACTCCTGGTCAGCGCGTCTTACGCCGCAATGAGCAGGCACACAAGCTCTCACCACAGTGGGATCCCAACCCCTGGTCCGTGGACCAGATCTCTGGGTCTACGGTGACGATCTCCAACTCAGCAACTGGCCAAAGATCGACTCGCCATAATTATGTCGTTCGTCAAGCCCGTAATTGTTGTCACACCGCCAGCCCATCACCCACTACCAGCTGAAAGTTCTGCCACCACACCTTACAAAATTACAACAAAATCACATGCAAGAAGTCCTTTCACTTTGACTACTGCTCGTTGCGTGACATCACTCCTCACCAAAGGACTTCCTGGGGATCACAATCCTAAACAGACAAATGTACGAATACCGCAACTGTCTCTGTTGTTCTGCACGCCACGATCAACACGACTGCGTGCAAGACACAGCTGATCATCGTCACTGTACTCTTCCCTGAGCACGTTACCCTGTCGCTGCAGCCTGCGACGGACATTCCATAGTTCCACCAACTTGATGGCTTGATGTTCCCATTGACGTCGACCATGCGGTGTTGCCATTGACGACCTTCAACTTCAGGTCCTTGCCGTGGTCCGCACCATTCAAGAGATGGGCCACATTTGGTGTACTTTCACCCAGTTGGTCACTTATTTTAACCTTGCCGACTTTCCACTGCCGGACTGTTGCTTCAACAACTGGCGGAGAGCATATACGCATATCATCACTCTTCCTTGCAAACATCATTTCCGTCTCCACCATGTCCTTATCAGCCTGATCCATGGCTGACACCCCCAAGGCACTGTCCACTGTGCCGCCGGGCTGGTGGAGCGACGGACCGATTCTCCAGTGACGGTCGTCGTCCACAAGGCTGTTGGAGTGCGCATCCAAGATGTGCTAGAGCTGTTCAGTGTCGTGCAATGCTATCGCATGAGCTGATTGTTTAGTAACTGGTGGTGTTAGTGGACAGTATAGCGTAACTTGTAGTTCCTTGGTCTTTCTCTTTTGTATAAGGCCATCATTTTTTATAGCTATGTTTCGCGTCGTCCGCACGCATACGTTTTGATTTTTTTCAGAAAAAAATAAAAAATCTTACATGCACGGTGAGTGTACGATTGTACGAGTCATCAGTGTGGACTGGTTGCATACGGCGAAGCTGAGATTCAGAAATGGCCTCTAGGCCAGCGTTGGCAAATCGTTTGTTCGGCATCTGGGAGCAATATTCTATGAGCTAACACCAGACAGCATTGATCGCCTGAAGTTGAGAGGATGCGTCGTTCCGGAGGTCTTTGCTGCACCGCTGCCGAAGTCTGAGTACAATAATCCAGCGAAGCATAGGCACCAACGGTTGCCTCCTCTGTCCAAAGTGAATATTTACTCTTGCTGATAACCCAGATGTTGTGCTTCGATGTACGATTTTTCTTTCAAATGTACACCATGCACGAGCTATTGTGCTATGTACAGTGCATACACCTCTGATGAGCCTTTTTTATTATTTTGCAACTTTTTTTTTTCCACCTCTCGCATATGATTCTGGAAGTTAAACTGACGCGAAACATAGATATAAAAATGATGGCCTAAACAAACTAGTAAGCTAACGATAAACTAGTTACACTGAGACAATTCGACTGGCACAAATTACAACAAAATCACATGCAAAATGTGCTTTCACTTTTACTACTGCTCGTTGTGTGACAACCACCATCATCAGTGTGCGCATTGCGCCTGGTTTGGTGCATGCCTGGTGGAATATGACATAGCGGCTGATGCAGTGGGCACGTCAGGTAACACCTAACGCATTGAAATGACTCAACTATGACTTGGTTCGATTGCAACAAACCTAATGATAGTGGTACCGAAACATTCGGGTAACCGGAGTAAGTGCCAATTGATATTTTTGGCTCCAGTCAGTATAGTGATTCAATTGCAATACAATTATATACGTACGGTGGAACTCACTTAGTACGTACCCGGGTAAGACATACACCTGCATAGCACGATCCTCTTTTGTCGCACGGATTTTCCTCCCATAAGCGCATATTCAGATGTGTACGGATACCTTCTGTTCATGTGATTCATTGTCGCTGTGTTACTGTATGCAGATCTCACTCAGCTCTGCTCTCCGAGCATTCTGCTTCCAACACGACTTCCCGAAAGGTATGTATGGTGGCTAATAATTAGGGCTGAAACAATTATACCGATAACTCGCATATCGATCGTTAAGAGTGCAATCGATAATCGTTAGTGTTCAAAACGAGTGCTAACAATTTTTTATGCATGTATATGAGTGACAGTATTCCAGCCCTTGCACTCCATCCGATAGTGAATACGAGTACAATCATGTACTTTCAAGCGCAGTAAAATTGATTTGTGGCTTTGAAAGAGATCGGAAGAGAGCACTCTTTGTCTTTTCAGTTCATTTGCGGGAAAGGTCAGAGATAAGAGCAGTTGCCAGAGGGTGATCAGAAGATTCTTCCCTCTAGAAACAACATGAAATCCTCTAGGTCATGTTGATAAACCAGCCAGATGTCTACAGATGTCAACAGTGCGGTGCCACAAATTTCTAACGTAGCAAAAGTATCGTGGAATTTTTCCGTAAACTGGTGTTCGAGGTACACGGGTAGAGCCGACAAGAATCGATAAAACCAATATATCGATCGTTAATGATATTGGTTGATCGTTAAGAGTTACTGAATGATCGTTTCAGCCCTACTAATAATGCGAGAGTCTTTACAGATTCCAGTGCTCTCATGCCTTTTGCAAGTTCCGTTTGTAAGTCAAATGGAACATGGTTTGTGGTCAATACTTCAGCAGTAGTGGTGCGAGAATATTAGGGTGTCAAATTGCTCGGAATTGATGTATGATAACGGAGAATATACCAACATGTGAATCACTTGGAGATATGGTTTGCCAGGTTCTGTTCACACTCACTAGGCTAGACCCTCTCGAATATTGTACAACAGTTTTGGCCCAGGAGTGGTAAAGGGCACGGGGCAAGCTATGTCGGGACCTGCTGTAAAGTCCGCCATACACGAGCTGTACGTCTTATCGGATGGGATATACCCCTGATATTGCTGATAATGAATGGCCCAGTTTCATTGTACTGCTGTCCGCGATATTATATCCTTAGTGGCATTGTTAACTTCTCATTGCTTGTGGGGACGCATGGATCATACGTCCATCCAACACCTGCCAATCGGAACCCACCGACAACGCTGTCGGTTGGGTTGGACCACAATCGGTTGGTTTTTGAGTCCAAGATGCCGCCTAGGTAGCACACAGCATTGCTAATCTGATTTTAAATTAGCTGCGCAAATCCTGGCGTACTGCCCGTAAATGCATCTAACTCCCAGGGTACTTATGAGTTTTTAGGTCTATGTGGTACTTGTCTCGCATTGGCAGCCACTGTTCCGTTCTGTATTTTCTGGTGTATGTGTCGTTGAATCTCCACAGAAAATGTGCTCACGCATTAGAAGGAGGTGAAAGATGCACCTGCAGGAGAATACATGCTTAAGAGAAGGCAGAAACATGCCCAGATCCACCAGAACTAGTGCTGGCAAGTCAATAGAGGCGAGTACTGATAATGTTCCAGATTGTGGTAGGATCACATAAGCAAAATTGACACTGGGAGGCACGGCGGTGGGTCAGCTCATGGCCAGCGCCAGCTCCAGTGGATATCACGTGCATCCAGTTCTAGTACTATAGTATGACTGCTACAAAGTAGTGCGGCCCAAATAGAACTCGGGTCAGGTGCCGAAGAACTGGGGGGGGGGGGGGCATGTGTCAATGAATGGTAATAACTCCGGAAATCATGCTGGTGTATCGAGGGCGTGGGCCAATGAAGTGCTGGATTGATGGTGGACGACTGTACTGCAATCTTGGCTGGTCCCACTATCGCAGAGACAGCACTTCCTGGTGCAACCACCCTATCCTGCAATCTATATAATAATTATTATAAGAGATTTGTGTGAACGATTTTAGCATGATGCAAGTCAGCTTATTGTGCTGGGGGCCTGGCTACATGTCACTATAGCTTTTTATAGACTCGATCACCGCATTACGCTGCCTTGCGTTGACTTGATTGAGCACTCTTTTTGGTTAGTGTCAAAGGTATATGTAATATGTATCTGCCTTCGTGCAAAGCTCTCTTTGTGCGTGTCTTGCAGATAGCTCGCTGACTTTGATGCTTTGAGCCATTTTCAAATTGCTTTTTTTGTTCATTCCATATAGACCGTATTGCCATTTGTTTAACCTCCCGCTCTGAGCTCCACTGATGGGACCTAAAAGGCTGAAACAGCTGTCTGGAGATTGAGCGTCAGTATTATGGATTTAGAATACACGATCTGGGGACAGCACTAGTACTGTCTAGCTGTTTCGTCCTTTGTGGACTCATCAGCGAATCACGGAGAAATAACTCTTAACTAAGGATGAACCTAGCAGCCATGAAAATAGATAAATAATGCCTCCAAGCCAGAATTCAAGGCTACATGTGTAGGCCCGAATGTGCCTTGCCCGAGTGCTGAAACTGATAAGTCATTGAGATACGCATAGAACATCTGGCAAAGGAACTATTAAAGCCCCCACAAGCACGGTATTCTACTTCAACAAGGAAGAATTTTGAAAGCATGCACAGCCCTACATGTATAATGTTGGTATAGGTAAGCCTTGTTTGATAAATTAACATGACAAGGCAGGGGACGCACTGTGTTAAAAAACAGTGCTCCTGATACACTAGTGTGTCCTCGGCTTTGTCACATGCTGTCAACCGATCAACACATACAACGTTGCATGCAAAACGGCTGCAGCCTCGAAGTACGGAGTGCTATTTTGGAAAATGCTAGATATACAGCCTGTACTTATACAGGTGTTCTATCAACTAGTGCCATTATGACAACGGTAGCTGAATGATACATGTACATAAACCCGGGGTCATTGCAAGAACCTCTGGGTCTAAGCCCGAAGTAACATTCAACTACATGACTGTATACACCATCATGTATACACCATCTTCGTAGTAACTGAGTCTACCCCTCACCCACTACTGCCACTGTGACCACAATTGCGCACAAACAGAGGACCTTAGAGGACCTACTTCTAACTACAGTGCTGGCCAAAGAAATCCAACCTTATGAATAAAATTGCACTGGGCGCTACGCAGCCCTAGTAGTAAACATACTGGACCGGTCTGTGCTCTCGAACGCGGCGCTACTTTATTAACGAGGTTGGATTTCTCTGGCCAGCACTGTACAAAATACACACATGCACACACAACACTGCTAGGCTTTCCACCACCACACTAGGTTTTGAAACCGAAGAGTGGCAAAATTCAGGGACAGACTAGAAAATCTGGGGAGACCTGATGGTTTTTTAAAGCAAAACACAGCCAACACTCTGCAGCCTCACAGCCTCAGGCAGGTTTTCCCGAGTGCACAAAATTAAAAGTTGTTGAGGCACCACGAATACAGTCGGGCGTCACAGAACGTGGGACCCAGGAATGTACGTGTATAGTATACCTCTAGGAACACCACAGCCAATAACGTTTTAAAACGAAACGCAGTGTCAATAGACTCAAGTCTCTGCTTTTCTGGAATACAGATTCTGCTACACACGTATTGCTCACTATCCAGTGGGATGTGCATCTAAGGTGGTACAAGAAGTCAAGGAACTAAGCCTAAGGCCAGATTGCTGAAAGGTTTGTATAACTGACGAGCCTGACCTTGGAAACAACAGCCGTGGATACGTGGCTCTACTGTAATAAATGTACAGGTACACAAACAATTTGAATGCAGAAAAAACAACAACAAACAGGGAGAGGTGTAGGAAAATATACTCGGCCCCTAGTGAATTTGCTTGTGTATTAGCTTGAAAACTTTGGGTACACTTGTTGAGAGACCTAACTGCATGCAGCTAAAATATGGAGTGCCGTTGTCACCGACGACTTTTCCAGTAAAGTTGCGGCTAACATCTTCTCAGGTATTCCCGGGTCTTCGCTAAGGCCGTAAGGGTGAATGATATCATGTGTGTCTTCTATTGCTGATGTCGCTACACTCGATGGTGGTGCTGATGTACTGATTGTGGTGGAAGATATTGAGATGCCGTATATCTCGAACCTTTTCGCCAAGTCTCCGCGGCCATCGCGCAAGAGGGTCGGGAGCACCACAACTGCAACGCCACAGATCCAAGGATCGATTCTCGGACAAAACATTCAGATTGCCAAAGGTCCCCAGTGCTTGGCAATACTGGCCTGTACAGCATGAACACACCACACATACGCCCACACACCATGTACCATGTAAACGCCCGTTGCAGGAGAAGCACGCAAATCTGCAAATGAATTGGATTTGCACCCACAGATTTTCTCGTATAGGAACAATAGCTGATCTGAATCTGAATAAAACAGATCAAGACTAGTGCCAGATAACAGTCTAATCCGCACAAGGCAACTGGCGCAGCCATGTGAATCTCGAGCAAAATGGACAAACATGTCCCCAATTATCAGCAAACGGGTGTGCGTTACAGGATTGGCCTGGTAACTTCAAACAGGCACAATCCACTAACGTGGTGCCCCGTCAACTTCAACGGGAACACACCGATACAAACACAGCCCCACAACAGCAAAACGGGAACGCCGTTACAAATATGGTGCCCTGGCAACTTAACGGGAACGCACCAACACAAGCTGGCCTGGCACCTTCAAACAGGCACAACTGACAAAACACGGCATCCGGCAACAGCAAATGGGTAGGTACACCGTTACAAGAACAGTCCATCGCACCAAAATGCTGCTGCCACAACATTATAGCAGCAGCACGCCAGACATGCATACATGGCATTCCCAAAAGCAGATACCTGGAGTCAAATTCATCCATCACACTGTTTGTTAGGGCTGAATTTTACAGTGACAATAGCAAATCCCACCTAAGGCACATGTGATGAGATCTGTACACCAACTATAGTCACAGAATCAATGCACATTAGTAGAGCATAAGAACTCACTTGCGCTCATACCCTGTCACGTAGAGATGCTACTCTACGTGTACTGTTCCGATGTCCATTGGGGTGGTATGCCGGCCACTTGCTAGATGTAGAGCTTTTAAGCCGTACTTTGCCACCGTCTTCTTGCCGTATCACCACCTCACTTGCAACTCTGGATTCCAGGACTGTCGCTCCAACAATGGGCATGGAGCGGGAGCTAACCTGATAACAGTTGAGAGCGTGACAGAGTATCTTATTTAAATAAGGCCGAGTAAGGTGGATCCCTTTGGCAAACGTGAACACAGGCTTGGTGCTACAGGCATGGGCTGTCATGTACCGGAATAGCCAATACCGGGCATGTTTCGTCGACAGTAGATGGAACTGCGACGGCTCCACCGTATATGGCCGCGTCTTAGTGACGTTCAGGCGCAACGTGACCAAGTCAGGTGCGAGACTCCCAGCCTCCCACACAAATACTCTTTGGCTGTCAAACGAGTGAATACTAGTAGATGATGCTAAATACTCGCTGGCAAACAATAAGCCATACAAGGCCAGTAGTATACTTACCCACAGCATAGCCTGATCTACAATATGACTGATTGGATCGTTGTAAGTATTGCCGAAAATGGATTAAGTCGTCCACTAAAAGCTCTTTGAAACTCGGATGTTGAGCCAATATGGCAATAATAAAATTAATGTAGAAAGGAAAAGGACGTATGGATATGAGTGTAGAGTAACTGTCACTATATACTAAATACAGTCAGAAAGTGCAACAACCAGGCACTAAAACATTTGACGACCCGACTCCTGGCTTCAACACATCTCCGTAGTGTTAACGAGAGACCAAAGAGGGAAAGGTAATACTGGTTTCGTCATCGTCCAGTAACAATCAACATTTCTTGTTCTTGTGGGACTGTAGCTTCAACTACTAGCTTGTGCTCATTTTCGTTGCGCTTACCTTCCCCTCTTTGGTCTCTCCTTTTAACCTTGAACCTTCCAAGTTGGAAGGCTGTTGGTTAGCGCTACGGAGATGTGTTGAAGCTAGGAGTCAGGTCGTCGAATGTCTCAGCACTCTGTCAGTTTTGTGCCTAGTTGTTGCATTTTTTTTTACTGTAGTAGCTAGTTACAGTGGTGGACAGTTACTCTTAACTCGTATCCATATGTCCTTTTCCTTTCTAATAAAAGCTCTATCCGCAAATATGCCGAGGCGGCTTGCCGTCTCTCCCTCTATGCCATTCAACACAACTGTTGAGCGAGCAGCTTTTAGGCCAGCCCCATTGCACAACAGGTAATAGGCTACTAATAGCGTAACGCAGCTAGGTAAACACGAATCGATGAAAGAGGCAGACTTCTTAGAACAAAGAGACTAGTTGTGAAGGACACAACATTTTCAGCAGTCAGCAGTAGGAGAAATTGCTCTCAATTATGCAGCAATACTAGGCTTACACGTTTGTGTCATGCGTTCTGAGACGGAGTCCTTGACTAGCTCGTCACTGGCCGCACTCAGAGCAGCAGTCGTCACTACACATGGGTTGGGAAGCAATGGACGAAATTAACACTTGCCATGCACACATGCACTGCTTACCAGCTAAGTTAATATGTCATACTGTACTGCAGCAAGCAAGGAACTGGCAATACCTGCACCAGGCCTATCTACTGTGACCCATGCCATTGTGAATGAGAAGAGGCAGCATTTGACAGTATGAGCGGTGTGATGAACGGGAATGCATAATACAAGCCAGTCGAGCATAGGTACATGTACTTACGGACGCAAGCTGGCTGCACACCGCTCCACTGGCCGTAGATTTCACAAGTACGCACGGCCGAGCCCATAAGGACATAGGGAGATGTGCACACAAACGTGGTCGTGTTGCTGAACATCAAGCCGTTCACGGTCATTGAGCCCAGTGCCGGTGGTGACAGGACCTGGCAGTCGGTTTGACCTGCACAAGCACAGAGTGCACAGAGCACAGGCATTCAGTGTATGCATGTTTGGCCTAGGGGTGAAACGAGTGCCAAAATTGAGGACTTGAGTACTCTTTGAAAAAACGAGCGAGTATTCGAGCGAGTACGAGTATTTTACTGACAACATAAAACAATGTACTGCACACACTCTCGTAACACTGAACGTATTACACCTGATACACATGTAGTCTTGCATGCAGCCTAGTGCAGGAAATAGTCTGAACTACGTCTTTCGTTCGTAAGTAGGGACAAGTAATAATTTCACACTTGCATGGGTTATCAGTACTGGTCAGAGTAACAGACGTGCTTGATGTACAAGCATACAGTACAATGTGCATAAGATACTTTGAGTATTTTGCGAAGCGAGTCCTCACTCCTTTCGAATTTTCGAGCAAGCGCTCGAGTATTCGATATACTCGTTTCATCCCTGAAACGTTTGCGTATGTGTGCGTGGCACAGACGTTGGTTTTGAATACATTGCAGTACACGCATTGTGTAAAGGAAATTGATGCGAAGACTGCCTCAACATGGCCATGCAAAGTAATAAAATAAATACAGCAGTGAATAGCGGTCAACAGTAGCTCTACATTTTGCTTGTAATAGAAGTCATTAGCGTCAGAGCAAGAAGAGGGACAAGACGAGTCAAGGGACAATCCGGAGGACGCAATACCATACGGCCAACTGTTTGTTTCTACCAGCGTTATTGTACCGTCGACACAGCTCTGACGACGATATACTGGGCGAATGCCGCGGGGCCTCCCAGCGTGTCAGCGGCAGTGGGTGATGGGTAGATAACAAGGTAGCTTGCGGACAACATCGGTGGCATGAAGCCTAGTGACTGCCAAGCGTCTTGGCGCGACGGGCGAGCAGTACAGTGTCATGCCCCAGGGGCTGCTGTGGCTGTCGACGTCGGCGGGTCGTGAGGTGCGTTCGCAGGCCTTCATGGCGCTCGGACTACTGCAATACTAGTACACAGACTCTCACTACTAGCTACATAGTACTCTGATTCTGGCACGTTATTTCTGCATTGAATAGTGATTGATTTTACGCGCCGAATATCCGACGCTGCATGCATGTCCAATGCGCGTCAACAGTACTTCAAACTTTCCTTTTCCCGCGTTATCACCTCAGCTATGCCAGTTTTGTATGTGGAAACCCCCTATATAATAGCAGTTTGGTCTATATTTTTAATTATTCAATATCTACCTTCACTGATGAGCTATGTATTAGCGAAACAGCTGTCTGAAGGAGTTTATCAATATCGTTTACGGAAGTGTCCTCGCAATGGTGATGGTTGTGTGCAGGAGGGTCTAGTCGGCTAAAGAGCGCAGTGTGGTGGTGGAGGTGACTCAACATTTTCTTCAATGGCCGAGAGCTCTGTCGCACCCTGTAATAATAATAGAAGTCATGGTACTACTATCAGTGCTGCTGCTGGTGCTTACCTGGAGCTGGTGTGACCTTGCCTGGGCAGTACTGTGCATCAGAGCCATCAGCACAGTCGTACCAAACACCGTCGCAGCGCTGTGATGGCAGGATACAGCCACTGGAACGCAGGCAGGGCAGGTAGCCAGACTGGCACTGCAGTTGAATGGCTGGATACACGTACCCATACACACAACACACAAAGCAGTCAAGAGATGAAGAAGGTGTCTGCTCGGCACATCTTTTGTACAGTCAAGAGATATTAGCATATTTGGAGGAGGTGGTAGCCTAAAACAGGCTCGACAAAAGTTACCGGCTTATGCCAACAACTCAGTGTTCTGGTAGAGTAGACGGTTCGATACCGGAACGCCTTGACAGCCAAATTTGTATAGACCCAAACCGATCATCAGCGTTGATTTTTCACTCGAAATATGTTTGTGGAAGGAAACTGGCATGTTGAAGTTTGCTCTGGGGCCAGAGTCAATCGAACTGAGCCACTCCTTTGTGTTGACCCATTGCCTCCAAGTTGCCCAATTTTTCGCTTCAAAAAAGTTCAAATCAGAGGTGGCTCCAAACCGGACACGTTTTAGAGTGCACGTCAAATTCACTCTGGGTCTGAAAGTAGGTAATTGCTATTGCTCCACGACGGCCAGTACAGAGTAACAATAAGCCTTGTGTGTGCTTCCATTAGTTTTGATTGGTATGCGGTGCTTTATTGGCAAGAGGCGAGCCGCTGTTTACCTGCGACAAGAAGTGGATTTTTCGAAAGTCGTAAAACTCAAGTCGCAGTGCGAAGCAACACGTCAAAAACTCACCTGCTTGGTATGGTGCGTCTGGTCATCGCAGAGCCATGAAATTTTGGCTCGGAGTATAACACATCGTAGTCTCACTGTGACATATGTTTTCTAATGAAAATACCAAGAGAGAAAGTGAATATTGAGTCCGTTCCGGTTTGCAACCTGTGTCCTATTTGAAACCGTCGCCTCTACCTGGTGAAACACCCTAACCATACACCTTCAAGTATAACATATATCCTAAGGACTCAGGCTGAGATGCTCGACTGGTCCTGGGTCCTGTGATAAGCACGATCATCATTTGTGATGATGAAAAGTGGCAGGTAACACCCAGACTATTACATGCTCTGTAAATAGGAAAGATCAACGCCACCAGAATCTGCCTTCCTACAAGCCTGAAGCTTCTCTACACAAGAGGGATATATTGGCTCTCTTGAAATTCAACTTACGATTACACGAGGCAGCTGCCCCACTCCAGGAACCGTCAATCTGGCAGATGCGCACAATGCTTCCCTGCAGGTTGTATCCGGAATTTCAGCCGAAGACGACGCTGCCTCCAGCAGAATAGTTTGTGCCCTGGGAGTAGCCGTTGGTCGGTTTAGCTAGCGGTGCTGTACACGTCACAGGCACGTACACACACAGGCACACACACACACCTCAGACCTCAGACCTCAGACCTGCCCATCGCGGAAGCGATGATAGCGAACAGCTATGTTAGACATAGCAACTTGTGCTGGGATTACACCATTCAACAGACACACACACACACACACACAGGCACACACACACACACACACACACACACACACCTTGATACACAAGGATTCTTCATTATTTGCCACGTTTGAGCTGAGCTGCGATCATCGCGCTTTGTTGCAGTGTGCTAAAAAAACAAGAACAAAAAAAACGGCCAAAAAAGTGGGGCGGCTGAGGCCGCCCCAGCCACCCCAGCTGTGCCGGCCTTGCATGCCTGGTGTACGGTCTGAAAGATGAAAGATGGAGCTCTTGTATACACGGGCCCGGAAAGTCTGCTTCGCCTGCTCGGCAGCAGCTTCGTAGTGGTGGTCAAGGGTCGAAGACCGACGGATACGGATCAACTCCCCAGTGATCACACCTTTACCCATACTACGGGGGTGATTACTACCGGCAAGCAGATACAGGAAACGATTGGTGACCTTGAAATTAGGCTTCACAGCCATATATCCCTTACTACGGAAAACTGTGGTGTCCAGGAAATCAATGCAATCATGTGCCAGTTCATGCGCAAACTCGAGGGCCGAACACTTATTAATCCTGTCTAAAGCGCGCTGAACTTGACCTTCGTAACCATGCAATGAAACAAAAATGTCACTGATAAAGCGTCTATAAACCTGAACCTCTAAACCCTCCCCCTCTAAGATCGGCAAAATGTACCGATTCTCCAAATACAGCATAACAATGTCGGCATAGACCACTGCTGCAGGAGAACCCATGGCAGTCCCTTGGATCTGCGGAAACAAATCGTTATCGTACACGAACCCGTTAGTCTTCCGAATGACTGACATCAAGGAAGTCACTGCTGTTGTTAACCGTGTACGAAGGGCCGGGGGAATCCACCTTGTATACCTGTGTGTGATATACCACGACAATGCAACGTGACCGAGCTCGTTGGGGATGTTGGTGTAAAGGCTGGTCACATCTATACTCAAAAATAAATGATCGTCCCGCACAGGCAAACCTTCTACCAAGTTGATGAAATCCGTAGTTCAGGCCAGAACAGTACTTTCCTCACGTACATACAGGTTCAGTAGAAAGTCAATAAACTTAGCGGGATAGTAGCCAGGACTATTCAGACTAACAATAGGCCTAACCTTCAGGGCACAGGGCTTGTGTGTTTTGAGAAGTCTCCTGAAAACGGGCATGCGCCCCCGGTGCGACTAAGAAAGTGACATATAAAATGGTCATACGATGCCCAATGCGATGCCTAGTCATGGTGAGTAAACAAGACTCGGGTCGCAAACACGAAGTCTCAACACAGCCTTGAGCCTGTTGGTTGCCATCGGCAGTCTAGCCACATGTTCATCTAGCCCCTCAGGAAAAAAACCCAGTCATTTATAATGTTGGGCATTGTGATGCTGGGCACGACCTATATCATCATAGTGAGATCCGTCCAGGACTACTATCACAATAGACTGCCTTTGAATATGCCTGAGTCCGATCGCGTTCTAATTCCCAAACTATGTGCTGCATGTGTACACTCCGCCTATGGTTAGTCTACTCCAGAACAACGCCTGGAGAGGTTCATTGGGGGCATGATGTCCCCCACCCCATCCCCCTTGCCCCCTGCACCTGAAGTACCGGTATTGCCCCCCCCCCCCCAAATAAAGTACAGGACACAGATGGAGCACTGGGGAGCACGTAGCAGTAGGCAAGTTGACGATGCCAGTGCAGACACACCTCACCTCGGTCACCACACTGGCACAGTCACATGGTCTCCAAGGAACATAGCTACCAGAGAACACAAAGAATGGGAGTATATAGTGCTATCCCGGAGGATAGACAACCTCCTATACAAAAATACCTACTGATAGAGTTCTGTGTAGACCCTATGTGCACATATGTGTGGATGAGTACTGGTAAACGGACAGCTAACCCTAGTCTAAGTAAAATAAATGTAGAATGTAGACCCTGGGCAAAAAAATAAGTAATTAAAAATAATAGCAACACATGAGGGAACTCGGATGGAGAGCCAAGGATTAAAAGTAAAAAAGAGGACCATAAGTTTACGAGTTATCCGTTTTTTCCAACACTAACGGGTATAAACGTGATGCAGCTAAGCATCAGGTCGTTGAATGTCATGATCTCATCAGTCAGTTTTTGTGCTGATTGTTGCACATTTTTGACTCAGCAGTATTCTGCATATAACCGTTAGTGTTGGACAAAATGGATAACTTGTAAACATGAGGGAACACTCATCCTTACCCAAGTCCCAACGTCAGCACTCGGCGCCGCTCCGAACCAAGAGGAACATTGGAGAGATCGTCCATCAGCTCCTCTCTCGTCCTGCGATCAAATCGCCTAATGCTAAAACACAAGAAGATAGGAAAGGCAAGTAGAATAAATAAATCAATAAAATAATAAACAACAATACAAGTTTGAACAGCTGCAAACGAAATGGACGATCTGAACAAGACCAATGATATACCTAGAAATTCTAGAAGGCACTAGGAAACATCCATACCTGCTCAAACTGAAGAGGACAACATAGAAAAAGGTAAAAGAGGGCACTACTCAAGTGTTCCTGGGATGGCTATGGTCTTTGCTATGCTATTGATTTGCAGTCTGATTCATCTGAAAAACGAAGTTTCAACTTTCAAGCATTTAATTTACAGTCCTACCCTCGTTAGTATGACATCGGTTGCAAGACAAACCTCATTAGTAGACAACGATCCAAAATCCCATGAATCATTAGCAGTCGTACATGCAAGTCCGGATAAGAGATTATTCGTTTGTAGACCAAATTCGTTATAACGTCCCCTTCAGCTGTCTCACAGGTTTGAATTCTCATTACAAGAAAAAGCGGATGGCCGAGGATAGCTCGATTGATATTTCATGTTGTCTTGTATCGGGGTCCGATGAAACATTGTCTGATAATGGGTTGTCTTGTACAGGGGTCTGGTGGAAAACACTGTCTAATAACAAGGAACCATCAGTTCTGATGTGGACACAATATGGGTGATGCAAAGCAGCAGAAAAATGTACTCGTTATCAGACAAAAAAAGTTGATACCCCCAGGGTTGTCTCCTAACAAGGGTAGACCTACGAAATAGTGGTTGCAACTTCGGCGAAGATTGTTAGGAAAGGGTTTGCTCTCGACACTGGAGCTCACGCTATTCCGCCGCCTTGACTTTACACTTGACTGACTGACAGCTGCCACCCAGAGCACACGAAAAGTCCATCCAACCTTCCACTCGGAAAACCTGCAAGAAGGGACCACTCCCTGCTCAATACACAGTGTTTCGGGAACATTTACCCTCATCAGTCGAGTTTGAGTAGGCTGAGGAAGATTGTGCCTGAGAAGCACCATTTATATAGTGCTCTCCATGTCCAAACATCACCAGAGATACAAACTTACAGAGACGCTCCGTTTGCAGCGCGACAAGCACCTCGTGAGCACCAGATAGCAGTGCGAGTCAGTGTCGCTCCTGGACGGTGAAAGCTGTATATTGACACAGAGAGAGAGAGAGAGAGAGAGAGAGAGAGAGAGAGAGAGAGAGAGAGAGAGAGAGAGAGAGAGAGAGAGAGAGAGAGAGAGAGAGAGAGAGAAAGAGGGAGGGAGAGAGAGAGAGACACACACACACACACACACACACACACACAGAGACAGACAGACAGGCAGACAGAAGGAGAAAAGACAGAGATCCGGGATGTGACATCATCATGACATCGGCCGTTGCTGTGTATGTTGGATCCAAGGTAACGAAAAGACGACACATGGGCAATCCCCATGGTTCGTGTCGCGAGCGGCTCTAGATCGTCGTTAGAGGTGTTGGGGCCAGAAACCATGAACTTGGTTTGGGTGGGGGGGGGGGCACATGCACACACACACACACACACACACACACACACACACACACACACACACACACACACACACACACACACACACACACACACACACACACATGCATGCACACACACACACACACACACACATACACACACACACACACACACACACACACACACACATACACACACCTTCCTTCCTTCCTTCTTCCACTGCCATGACTGGCTATGTGGCCCCATACGGGGCAGACCAGGAGACGTGTTGTCCACCGGGCGGGGAACGCCGTACTCAGCGCGCGCGGGCCGTGCGAACAGCGTTACACTTGTGCGTCGCAATATCCTGTGCCACAAATGAGGGGCTTCGCCACAGGCTCCATGCGGGACTGGACAATAGCGTCGACAGCGTCACGGCAGGTGACCCGCCATCCCTGTCGATCTTGGACGATGTCACCAAGCTGCTCCAGAGGAACGCCAACACACACACACACACACACACACACACACACACACAGACACACACAGACACACATAGACACACACACATACACACATACTTTGTACCATGTATATGCCCGTCACAAGAAAAGCACGCAAAGTTGTGGAAGTCAGGTCTCGCTGGACCAACCAGAATGGAGCTGCTACGGGCCTGAGCACGCAGCTTTCCCCATGTTGCAGAAGGCAATGCAGTGCTGCAAGTGGCAGGCAATCCTACATGAAAAATTGGCACACACACCTCCATATTAATAATTCCAACGAGAGAGCTCAGTTGAAAGCTCAGGGCCCTCACTATCTTTTTTGCCTAGGTTATCATGCATTATGCGATAGCAATAAACAACAGTTTTATTCGGCTGAAATAAAGGATACCAATAGACCCCACTTGTACTTGGCTGAAATAAATTGTTCATCGTTGTTATTGCATTTAGTTTTTCATTTCGATATCGCACAAATAAAGAGCGCTTGGGCTTGAAGGCTAGAGAGGGCTTGACCGCCCAGGAGCCCTCGCTATGCTTAATATTTGCCTAGGTCATCATGTGTGTTATTCGAACTGATAGAAACGTCTTTGCAATACAAAAACATGTGCATGACAATCAAAACTTTAGTTCATAAACGCACATCGATACATAACTCAAAACTCAAACTCTCAGACAGGTACATTCTACCAAGTAAAAGTAAATATAATAATAGATTACGCTTTGGTACTAGCTTATTTCATTTTTTTTCAAGCCCTGTTTCAACATGTGGCCAGCAGTCTTTGCCAGAATGGTACGGAACATCAACGGAATAGGGCCAGGCTGGTGCGTGACATGATGATGGCCCCGCACACCGAACAAGTTCGAGCATGAGAGCATGTATTTTCTCCTGCTGAATGGATGCCTGTGCAGCGGTCTCTAGCTGTCAACGCGTTTTGTCACGAAGGCGGTGAGTCTCCAAACGACGGGATATTTGCTCCGTCGTTTCTTGCTGTTGGCATAGCCTTTCGCAAGCACGGCGACTCTCGAGGCGGCGGGACCTTTCTTCTCCCTTCTTCTACTCTCTGTGTAGGCACTACTGCCGACGCCGTCTGCTCAGAGCTTCAACACTGTCACCCCTGTCATTTTGCTCTTCCTCATAGTCCTCTTCTAATGATCTCAGCATTCTATTTATACAACTACGCCCATTAAAACACAACAATCCACCCGATCCGTACATTCCCGGCCCATCAGTACCACACCCCTAAACTTTCGAACAATAGCACGTCACTTTCTATGGTCTTTTGAAATCAAACCGCGGCCATTACAATAATGCGATCTAAACCATACCTAGGAATGGGTTTGCTCCCCACACTGGAGCTCGCGCTATTCCGCCGACATGACGCTTGACGGACTCACGACTGCCATCCAGAGTCGCAACCATTCTTTCTAAACCATACCGCTAATTATTTTAGTTAGCTATCCACTTACCGGTATATCCTTTACCGAAATTGTATTCTTTAACGCAATATTCCTCTTTCTTTTTCTTCTACTCCATTCCATCAGCACCCGGCCGATGGCAGGAGATTGGCATCCACTGGGCTAGCATGCAGCAGCCAAAGCTGGGGCCTTTTCTTACTCCGCTAAACCCCCTTCTTAAAACGAAACTGACGTGCATGTTAACTGCCGAATTCTGCCGAATTCCCGTCCGCCCGGAGGATTGGTCCTTGTCGATCCGCTGGCAGGATCAATACTTTTATGAGAGTGCCCTGCCCTTCAGACTGTATTACGCTCCAGTCCAGCTATATGGAACTCTGTCGCATCCGCCAGTGAATGGATTATGTGCTAGCAGTTCGCACTCACACGCCTGTTGCATTACGGGGAATACCTCAACTAACGTTACTTCCTCAGTGCATGCTCTGGACTTGTGTTAGCTTGCCAGCAATTTGCTATTCTGCTCCGAGCGTTTACATACTTCGATGTTTCTCTGGCCCCAGCAAAAGTGGAGGGTCCAGCTCAAGTCCTGACGTTATTGGCATCGTCCCATTACGGGGAGTACCTCGACTAACGTTTCGGTCTCCATGCATGCTCTGAACTTGTGTTAGCTCGCCAGCAACTCGCTACTCGGCGCCGCGCGTTTACATACCTCGGTGTTTCTCTGGCGTCAGTAAAAGTGCTTCCTCAATGCATGCTCTGGACCTGTGTTAGCTCGCCAGCAACTCGCTACTCGGCGCCGCTCGTTTACATACCTCGGTGTTTTCTCTGGCGTCAGCAAAAGTGGAGGGTCCAGCCCACGTCCTAATGTTTATCGGCGTCATCCTGGACACCCGCCGCGCTAACATCAGTATGCCTATGGACGAACTTGCCGAGCTTCGTGATCTCCTTCGGGCCACTCTTCACACAGCTTCAACTACCCAATGTCAACTCGAGTCTCTTCTGGGAAAGCTCCCGTTTGCTACAAGAGTGATAGCCCCTGGATGCAAATTGCAGATTGTGGTCACTTGCCAACTGGTACCGGCAGCCGTGTTACCGGATCAAGCTCTCCAAAGAGTGCCTCAAAGATCTTCGCTGATGGCCTGAGCTCCTGGATTAGCGGAACGGCCGGTCCTTCTTCCTACACCCTAAATGGACGCCGTCCCCCGACTTGTTGGTATTCACTGATGCAAGTGGTGCACTTGGCCGGTGCTCGTACAATTGCGACCGGGGATAGGGCGATGGACAGTCAATCAAGCAGAGCAGCAATCGCAAAGGGTTGTTTACAATTGTGGCATCCCGCAGCACCTGGGAAAACTAGCGGCATCAGCTGCGAATGCCAATCGATGGGCATTTACAGCAACTGCGAGGATATTGCTCATCAGTTGTGGCTTTGGCCTGGCGTTGTACACCGGCCACTCGTTTCGAATCAGCTGCGGGAATCGATATTCAGAGAGGCGGGAAGGTGGAAAGCGATGTCTGCTCGAGTAACATTCGGACGCCACCTGCAGCCAAAGTATGGGTGGCTGCGGCAATGGCCTCAGCCCATGATATCAAGTTCTGACAGTCTTTACCTAGCTTGCACCGCTTACAGATTGCACGGGTAGCTGCACTTTGTGATCCGCTCCGGGAGTGCCGATTTATGTGGGGTATATGCTCTCAACTGGTTATGCATACCAATATATTTAGCATTTGGAGGCTCTACTCAGAGTCATTGGCGGCTCTACTCAGAGTCATTGGCGGCTCCATGCGGAGTCATTGGCGGCTTCATGTGGAGTCATTGGCGGCTCCATGCGGAGTCATTGGCGGCTCCAAGCGGAGTCATTGGCGGCTCCATGCGGAGTCAATTTGCGGCTCCATGCGGGGTCATTCGGCGGCTCCATGCGGGGTCATTCGGCGGCTCCATGCAGAGTCATTCGGCGGCTCCATGCGAAGTCATTCGGTGGCTCCATGCGGAGTCATTTGACGGCTCCAAGCGGAGTCATTTGACGGCTCCAAGCGGAGTCATTTGACGGCTCCAAGCGGAGTCATTTGCCGGCTCAGCTGCGAGCCATCTAGTGGCTCCAAGCAGAGCCATCATACCAGTTGCTCGAATCGGCACTCCCAGCTTAATCCAAAACTCGGTTGCTCTGTTGTGAGGTGGGGGGATGCTAACCTAGGAATGGGTTTGCTCCCCACACTGGACCTCGCGCTATTCCGTCGACTTGACACTTGACGGACTCACGACTGCCATCCAGAGTCGCCACCACTATTTCTAAACCATACCGCTAATTATTTTAGTTAGCTATCCACTTACCGGTACAGTAAAACCTGTGACTACCGACCACCCCTTGGTGCCAGCAAAAGCGGTCTTTAGTAGCAGGTGGTCTTTAGTTAGAGGTTTGCACCGTGTGACCATATGTGGATCCCATTATATGATATGTATGTCAAAATGCAGCTAATACAATTCCCCAGGACTTGCGCAATGTCAGAAAGACGGAGAGATGGAGAGAGAGAGAGAGAGAGAGAAGATTAATTTTTTGCAGACTTCAAATTCAGCTGCTACTTCTGAAGCCAGGAGTCAAACGTTCCCTGGGGAAGTTTCGTTTCGCGCTGGGCTTCAAATTTGTTCATGCGATCAATCATACCGACTGTCCTTGTTGTGACTTCTCGATTGCTTGAGCATCAGGACCTTGTGGTGCTGCTTTGTTTCTGGATTCCTTGATGCCATCGTCGATCCGTCTGTATGACTGGGGTGACAGAGCTGCCCAGTCTTCGTTTCTCCTCCGAGTAGTAACATCGATCAGAGCGCTTTCGATGCGCTCTCCAAGACGTTTCCTATCATGTTTTTTCTTGACAGCGCTTGAAATTTTGACAGGTGTAGTGCAGTCCACACCGACTCCACAGCCCAAATTACCTGCATTCATTTGTTCAGCTGTAGTATCGAAAGATTCTTTTCAGGACCATGGAAAATCAGTAAAATTTCAAGAAGGAGCTTCGAGCAACATTTGATTTCCTACATCGCGGTCGCTAGTTACGGGTCAAAAATTGTGTTTGGGACAGGAAAAGGTGGTCGCTGGTCGCGTTCAGAAGGTAGTCGCTAGTCACAGTGCATTTTGAATGTGAGACCTTCCGTGCCTGGCGAAGTGGCCGGTAGTACCAGGCTGGTCGCTAGTCACGGTGGTCTTTAGTTACAGGTTTTACTGTATATCCCTTACCGAAATTGTATTCTTGAATGCAATATTCTTCTTTCTTTTTCTTCTACTCCGTTCCATCAGCACTCGGCCGATGGCAGGAGATTGGTACCCACTGGGCTAGCATGCAGCAGCCAAAGCTGGGGCCTTTTCTTACTCCGTCAAACCCACTTCTTAAAACGAAACTGACGTGCATATTCACATTGCATGTTGTGAATGTCCCCATATTTGCCCCGACATCTTAGCTCGTAAAGCGCTCCAGATACATCTATGCTACGGTGCGCACCGCATACTCGAATTACGGTACGGGACACATACGGGATACTGCACCAACCATGGCATGCCACGTGAACCACCCTACCAGGCACCGTGACACGCACCGAATTACAGCGGTGTGGATACTGGCTAGCGCCAGATGCTACTAAAGTACAACTGAATAGCGTCTTTTGCATAGCTACGGGAATAATCTCATATCCCAAGCATTGCAGCTCTGCTAATAGAATAATTCAGGTTACTCCCACTCCATTTCTCTAGTGCTTATTTTTCTGAAAAAATATCATCTTTGGCACCAGAATGCTGCCACCAAGAGTACATTAACCAGAGTGTGCAGCCCAAAGAGAATCATCCCACAGCAAAGTTTATTGTTTAGGGCATAGACTCGCAGTAACAGGCTCACCTTTGCTGCATCTCACACCGCTTCACACGGTAGCACCTAATCCACTTTTATGTTTATGTATCTATGTCATTCGGATCTTCCCAAGTTGTACAATGTACTGTTGAGATACCGAATTCAAATAAATCAATACCATACCATACCATACCACGGTCATCTACTCTATCACCATGGTAATTTCTGTGGCACATTGCTGCTTGTTTAACAAAAACGTAGAAAACACACCGAATTTCCAGGTAATTACCATGGTGGTACGGTACTTTAGCTTGAACCTATTGTATGACGGGTTTTCTACGATTCATAATGACCTAGGGAATAACTAACAGTTAGCGACGCAATTCTTCTGAGGTGTAAAGTGACTTCAGGAATACATGTATGTTGCAGAAAACTGCGATGCATGCTGATTATTTACTGTGCCCTATTGTGCACCATATACCTGGTGGGTTACTCAGGGATAAAGTAGATGCACACAAGTGCCGTGCATCACGGCACAGGTTAGGTTCGCAACTAGCTGCTACAGTGTATTTGTGGTCCGAACTTGCACTCTACTCAGCTCTGCATACGCAAAGAGTGCTGGTGCCGAAATGAACCAGAAGGGTGCTGAGTGGGACGCAACAACACTGACTCTGTATACCCATGTACACAGATATGATAGGGTATGCAGTACCTGCTCTAAGATTTAACACAAACCGGGTACACGTCTACCTGGCACAACTCCTGCAACACTGGGCCAGGGCCAGATGTGTTCAAATGCGGCTACTGTGTGTCAGGGAGTCGTAAACTTACTTTCGACTTCCTGATGTACATGATTGTACATGTACATGTATGAACGTACTCGCACTGGGCACTCTGGCCGCACGCATCTGCACGCGTATGCAGCCTGTCAGTGGCGGTATACCCTCGAAGTATAAAAAAGTATAGTACTCGACAGGACTTCCGACCGGGTCGCAGGTAACCCAGTGTTCTTTTTCCAAAAGGTCCAAGTACTCACAAACAGGGCCACTGACCTCGCTCTGGAGCAGACACTGGTAATCTAGGTCCAAGTTTGCTCGATTATGTTCTGACGCTTCATGTGCTTTCATAGCCAAGGTTTCTCACTTTCTCCGCAAGCTCTTTTAGTCTTGAGAGTTGACAACTGCTTATGGTTGTGTTGGCAGAAAACATGTCAGCTAATCTGACAACCGTCCAACCCCATTTTACTGGTAAGTAGTCAGCGAGTGGCTTTGATGGGGCCATACTAGAGGGGAAGTTACGCGGCATATTTGTGCTTCCTTTTTGAAAACACGTTCTCGTTCGAAGGGTTTCCAAACTTTATCCCTGCGCTCATTGATGGAGTTGCCAGCGGCACTCTACAGAAGAACAATGTTGTCAAGTTTTTTATGAAAAATTGTCAAACATTTTCAAATTGCTATAAGTTTGGTTAGGGCCGGGTTCCACTGCGACTCCGCAGCTCCGCTGCTCCACGGTACTTGGCTGCATGCAGCAGAGCTGCGCGGTTCCAGTGACACTCGCCATTCACGGTACCGCGATCGTGCTCGACGTTTTTTGATGACATTTAGCCTGCCTGCACGCGCGTGAAATCCAAAATAATCCTCGTGTTCTGGCCTGTGCAACGAATTAAAATTCCCCCGAATAAAACAATTAAGCGCGGGAAACAATGCAAGCCGTGACCGCGGCTTGCATTCTTTTGTATCAAGCAGCGAAGCGAAAGCTGGTGATGAGCCGCGGCCTCGCTGGACCAGCTCGTAATGATGACGTTTCATGCCGTGGATGATGTGCGGCGGAGCGGCAGTGGAACCCAGCCCTTAGGCAAAGGAAATTTGTCATTAATTTGTTTATGCTGCATAGATGGAGAGCTGCACACTCTGGCTTATGGACTCTCGCCTACATAACAGTGTAGTCGTACTGCTAGTGTACTGGCATTACAGAAGACACGAAAATTGAGAACATAATTATGGCGAGAAAGTAACTACTGGCTAAGAATTGCCCTAGGACTTACCGCTTCTCAGTGCTCCATACCAGGAAGTAGTACAATACCTACTCCCTGCATCCTTTACCCCAGGAGTCTCGTCCATTTAGCGGCTCAAATGCTTGAGCTCCGGATAGCGGAAAATAGCTCGTCGTCCATTAGCGGCTCTAATAGTACCTGGTCTGAAGTGTCGCAGTCTAGCAACTATGATTTTTTCCAGGAGGGTAAGGGTTGCAAACCCAAAGAGACCCTAAGCTTCGTCTATCAAACAAAACAATTGCCCTAAAAAATGGAAGAGGAAAAGAGTGAGCGAGCTGGTCTGAGCGCGCTACTTTTCAAAAAATAGAAGCTGAAATTCATCAAAGTCAAAGCATTCTGGCTAGCGCGTTTGTGTATGTCACGAGCGCTAGCGCGCTAGTCGCAGCAAACGCTCGCAGGCCAGAGTTAGCGCTATTTGGGCTGTTTGCCGCACGCGGCAGCTGGATGGATCACGTGATCCAAGCTGACAAATAAGGTCCGATGGTTCAGCTACATTGAGCCACAAGCGTTGAATACACCGGCACATCGATCGATCGATTTCTTTTTGAGAATTATTTTAGTATTTCAAGATCGCCAATTTATTTGAATTTAGAAGTCAACGCCGTCTTCTATCAGCTTCCACAGGCGTCTGCTTTTCTCAAAATGTTGTCGAAGTCATACGGATAGCTTCGCCAAGTCATGGCCTTGGCAATGAGTCTGTGTCGATGTCGTTTTCGTCACATGGTGAGAGTAAATTGCATCGCAGCTCAAAGAAACTATTTGGTCACAAAACATATTGGGACCCATGCCGCTCGTCAGCCTTGGCATTTACTACACTTTCGACATGTCCTCTCTGACTCCATAATCGATACGAGGAAGAACTCGTTTGTTGTGAACCAGACGTACACGACTGTACCGACATCGACCTGAGTGAGTTGTCATTTTTCATGCTTTCGCGCGGAATATTTCTTCGAGTTCACAGTGAGTTTTTCCAGGCAGCGCTCGAGCGCTCATACGGTAAGACGGCAAACTCCCCGGGCGATTACCAGGATTGCTAATCTTTTTGAAACTGACTGTAGTAGCAAAATTATGTATGTTTCGGGGCCGAGCAAGACTTTCTGCCTGGCACTCTCGACCTCAGCTCAGCCTCCTTGGCCCGGGCTGCAAATCAAATCCCGTGAGTCCGTGACTCCCGTCACGTGCACTGACTATTGATTACGACATCGCACAGACAGACTGTGACATGACATGCATGCATGCAGTAATCAGTGACGTAGTCAGGACAGTCGACAGCGCCACATGATGCACAATCATGCAAAAAATATTCACTGTGTTTACAGTTTTCGAAAACTGAAGAGCTGAAAATTAGTCTTGTAGACATTCAATCTGAGAGAAGCTGGCTTGGCAAAGTAAATTTGATGTTGCGAGCTCAGTTTACTGTTCACATTGTTGACATAGTCCTGTTCGCTGAGTATCGTGGGTGACAGAACTAAGCAGCTCTGTTCTTTTCAGCCCTAGTCCCTAACCCTGTAAGCAGTAGATAGCAGTGAGTTCAATGTGAAGAGCAGCACGAACTTCACGTTCTCGGTATTTTACAATGCTAGCCTCACTTCGGCCATTGTTTGGATCACTTCCAGCACCCGCCAGACTTTGTTCTCGTACTTTTCAGCAATGTAGTCGGAATTTCTTTATCCAGTGCCCTAAAGCTAGGCCTGCAAAGTCCTTTCAACCCAATGGTCATGGAGTGTTCATTCGCAGAATGTGCAGTCAAACAGAAAAGGAACAACTTACGAAGGCTGTGTCTCCGTATAGAAAAATCACCTATTATATTCTGGCGTTCACAATGGGAGGTGAGTACAGTACTAACGTAATGTTTGTAATAACTCCTGTACTAATCAGTCAAAATTACACAGTGTCAGACTTCGACTCTTCGTCACACGAGTTGGTCTAAAGTGGCAGTACATCATGTCGAAAGAAGTAGTTGACATGCCTTTGCACTACAAAACATTCTGGCTCAGAGACAGAATAGATATTAACTTATAACAACACTGGGACTAAGTGAGTGGCTATTCCCGCCAAGTGTATCCAGTTATGAGTATTTATTTTGACTCGGAACTTCATACAATGCACTCTTACTATCATCACAACTGCATGTACAGTAAAGCCTGCCCTAGTAGGCGATTCACACGACAGGCACATGCGCGTTTTACAGCGAGTGGTTCACGAGAAAAGTGACTGCATGGATGTGTGGACTCGACGACAGGCATGTTTGAAAAGTGACTGCATGGATGTGTGGACTCGACGACAGGCATGTTTGCATTATGGATGTGTGGACTGCATGGATGTGTGGACTCGACGACAGGCATGTTTGCATTATGGATGTGTGGACTCGACGACTGGCATGTTTGAAAAGTGACTGCATGGATGTGTGGACTCGACGACAGGCATGTTTGCATTATGGATGTGTGGACTCGACGACAGGCATGTTTGAAAAGTGACTGCATGGATGTGTGGACTCGACGACAGGCATGTTTGAAAAGTGACTATGGATGTGTGGACTCGACGACAGGCATGTTTGCATTTTGGGACGATTTACCCTCCAGTTCCTATGGGTATTTCAAATTTCCAGCGTGAAGAAACGAGAAGATTTGTGTGGTCCATTCTGTAGTGTAGATCTTCTTGACATTCTGTAGTGTAGATCTTCTTGACATTCGGTAGTGTAGATCTTCTTGACATTCGGTAGTGTAGATCTTCTTGACTTGAAATTGGTTTCTCCGCACATGTACAATGTAAAATGTTGAGTCACCTCCACCACTACACTGCGCTCTTTAGCCGACTAGACCCTCCTGCGCACAACCATCACCATTGCGAGGACACTTCCGTAGACGATATTGATAAAATCCTCCAGACAGCTGTTTCGCTAATACATAGCTCATCAGTGAAGGTAGATGTTGAATGATTAAAAATATAGACCAAACTGCTATTATATAGGGGGTTTCCACATAAAAAAAACTGGCATAGCTGAGGTGATAACGCGGGAGAAGGAAAGTGACTCAACATTTTCTTCAATGGCCGAGAGCTCTGTCGCACCCTGTAATAAGATGTACAATGTAGTTTGTTCAAATACAACAGCAAAGAACAATGTCTCTATCTCCCAAATTCTTATTGATGCTGTCACATGGTGTACAACCACATCGTAGATTCCGAGCCCAGGAATTCCTCAAAGAGCAGATCAGAAATTCAAATAAGTGCAAAGAAAATGACAATTTCATTGCGACTCCACATCACATTCTTGTCCGCTGACTTGAGCATTTCTCAAAACGAGGAACTTCTTTTCAGCGTGATTGGAGAACACACTCTTTCCCATCTGTCTAATTTACGGCAAGGCAAACACTGCAAAACAAGGCAAGGCATGCCGGGTAAATCTGCAGAACACGCAAACAGTAGCAAGGTGAAAAGAGTTGGCAAAGAATCAAGTTTTGTTTCGATGAAAAGCAGATCTTCATTTTGGTGTAGATGTACTCGTGTACGTCACGATTATCGAGTATTGATTATCGAGTATTGATTATCGAGTATTGATTATCGAGTATTGATTATCGAGTACAGTAAAACCTGGCAAGGCGACCACTCGGATAAGGCGACCACCTATCCAAGAAGACCACTGAAACCAGGATCAAGGGATGCTATTTCCAGTCAAATGACCCTGGATAAGGAGACCACCTGGTAACAGAGACCACATTTTGAAGGTCCCTTGAGCGGTCGTCTTAGACAGCTGTTTCACTGTATTGTGCGCTTATTTGCAGTTCACATTATGAGTTACGTGACATGCAAACCACCGCACTGCTTATTGATCGGTCACAAACGCATATGTGACAATCTGTTGTGCCGCTGCTTTGTCACCTTCAACTCACTGACATAATCACTCAAGTGGTTCGTATTGGACTGTGTGAGCCCGATGACGTACACACACTCACACGAACACGCGCACACACGTGCACACACGTACACACACACACACACACACACACACACACACACACACACACACACACTTACATACGAAGTGAGAGAGCTGCCAGACTTGTAATCAAACGCATGTGCAGGTTTGGTGTTGTTTTGGTTTCGTTTGGTTTCGTTCTTGTCCATGTCGTTGCATTGGTGGTTTCAGGATCCAAATCACAGTTCTTGTTTCTTTTGAGTCATGATAGTTTAGAGTGAACTTTAGACCCTGCTCTCTGCCTTCTTTGTTTTTATGCTGGGTGACGTAAATGCACCATCATTGAGCAAATAATGCCCTCTTGAATATTGCTCCGCTTGTGATGGACTTAAAAAAAGAAATAGCGCCCCTGTGCACTAATGGCCCGAGTACGGTACCCGGCCGGGTACCACATATCATGACCTAGGCAAAGACCAAGTATAGCAAGGACTGTGAGCTGGCAGCTCTCTCGTTGTACTAACCTGCACACTAGATACACACTTGTGCTGGTACGTGACCTACACACCATGGCCACTCGTGTGGTTCATGCCAGCCCGGACATGCCATACACTAACGTACACACTTCATAGGAAGTAAATAGGTGAGGACCCTGGCGCATTCCACAGCTTCTGAAACGAGAGAGCTTGGAAGCTCAGGGCCCTACGCTATGCTTTTTTGCCTAGCTCATCATGCATGTTATTAGAACTGATGGAAATGTTTTTTCCATTGATTGGCTGTAGTATTTTACGTTGACCATGACGGCTACAATGCCCAACCATACCACAACGAACTGATCGGCTACATCATTGTATTGCAAAAGTTTCCATCTGTTCGAATAACATGCATGATGAGCTAGGCAAAAAAGCATAGCGTAGGGCCCTGAGCGAAAGACAAAATTTGCATTCGAGGGTAATGCGACACCGTCTACCAATTTGCTGACCTAGGCAAAAAAAAGCATAGGGATGTTATTAATTTTCGTTTCTCCTATTTTTTTTCAAGACAACCTAGGATTCGAACCCGCACTATCGCCCTGCATGCACTCCCCGGATACAGTTCGCATACATACTCATTCTTCCAAGTTGCTTCACGTTATGATCTTGCATTTGAAGCCCTATTTGAATATTGTGGCCAGCTGTCCTTGATGGTACGGTACGGGACAGGTACGGGATAACTGTTAGCGCCAGGCATGCCGATGGCACAAACAAACAAACAAACACGGAATTAAAGCTGTGTAGACCCTGGCTAGCGCCAGACGTTACTGAAGTAACGTCTTTTGCATAGCTACGGGAATAAGTTTTTTTGTTACTGTCCTGCTTTCTGCTGCATGTTATGTTCTCCTGTAG